AGAGAGAAAATCAACTTGTCAACTGGACAAAAAGTTTATTTGGTGGAATACGCTTTGCAACTCATCCAAGCTGCTTCTTTAGTTCTGGTCAAAATGCTGGTGGACACTTCCTTATATCTGTCTGCAGGGAGGAGCTAACTACACTGAAACTACTCTGAAACGAACACACACACTCGTTTACAGTTTCTGTGAGTTAGTTAGGCCTATTGAACTGCACTGAATGTGGGCTGTTATCAGTAGAATCATTCAGGAACATAATTGGTACTTTCACTCCTCTGGACCTGATCTGGCTACACCTCTTGTTCTCGTTTGTTTTGATTCAGGTTTGGGGACTGAGTTGTAAACAGGAGACAGATGGTGTCTGAGTGCTCTGTTTCTGTTCAGAGAAGGATTATCTTTCCTAACAAAAACAGCTTCTTTAACTCCTCTCTCAAACCAATTTTTTTCTCTGTACCTCACTGTCCTCAAAAGAGTGGCCCGAGGCTTTTAAGTGGAGACGTACAGAAGACTGAGGTCCTGTGTTGCTCTCTCATCTGTGTTGGTACTAGGGATGGGCATGATTAGTCGATTAATCGATAATTGATCATTAAGAATTTCATCGATTACGTTAATTTTAATCGACAAACTGAATGTAGGTTGCTGTGCGTAGTGTGACCAAACAGGTGTGTACATGTGTCTCTCTGCATCAGAAGGAGCGAGACACAAACGGTCAGTCAGTCTGTAACGTACCGAAGCACAAATGCGTATTTAACGATGATTTGTACAAGAAAATCCACGCTTTCCGTTGCGTTCGGGACAAGTGTGAGTCCATGTGCACAGTGTATAAAGCAGCACATATGTTTCGTGTCCAGTGGGAAAAAGTTTTACCAGGTGAGAGTCGCGCAATGTCGATGACGAGTCCCCACCTCCCTCCCCCCGTACGGTGTCCTGGTTTTGACAAACGCAAATATGGTCACACTAACCTGTATTCCACTGAGTCATGTCTTTTAATCCAACAGAAATTGACCGCATCAGCGACACAAGAGCTGTAGTTTTATCTTCGCTGAGTTTATGCAAATTAGCGATGCGGTTTTAAGTTTCGTTTTCTGTGAGAGTTGCACAAAACTGAATTAAACACATTATAATGTCAAACGGGCTGATGTGGCTCTAGAGTCGTTACGGTTTATATGTCGTAAAGTTGAATTTATTTATGCAGATTAGTAGTGCAGATAGTAATAATAATGATGATCATTTTAATATAAAAACGTTAATGATTAATCGATAATCGGTACATCCTCTTCTCCAGTGTAGCGCTCACTACAGTCTTCACTTCACTGAATGGAGTAGAACACATCGTTTTGTTTGTGGCTCGGTGTTTTTTCCTTTGAATGGACCAGTTTTTGGGCGATTTTTACGGTTTGCTTTTATTTGATTTGAGTGTTTTTATTGTTTTAGAACTGTTCTGACCATTTACCTTTTTGTTGTCTTCATTTATTTTACTGGAAATTGCTTTGTTTGTAAAATGTGGTATAGAAATAAAGTGGATTTGGATATTTTGAATTGAGTTTTATATTTTATTACTCTATTTGAAAATGGGAATAAAAGTAGAGATAGAAAGAGTTGGGAGGGAAGTCATTGCAAGATATTTGTATAGTTGTAACGTCAGTATATTTAACAATGGGACTACAGTAAGTTGAGATGTATATGTGGTTGTTTTATTAGAAGCAGCCTGTATTTGAATCTTAATTAATACCTCAGAAGGCTCAAAGTAATTCCTGAACTAGTGATTTAAGGTCCTATATTACGCAAAATTGCCTCTTGTGAGTTTTAAGTCATGCTAGAATGTTGTTACCTCCTCAAAAACAAACGTGGAGTTGTGTTTTGTTTCATTCACACGTTTGAGTAATGTTTTATTATTAGTCTGTCTACATTTCCAAAGCTCAATATGCTTTGTTCCACCTTGTGATGTCATGAAGTGAGTTTTCAAGTTAAAATCAGCCTTGGAAACATGTAAATGCGCCAATAATAATGCTGAATGTTAAACAAAAACCCCAAATCATGAGATGTATTCCTTAAATTGCCCTTATTATGCTGTTTTCTGATCAATGTTATAGTGTTGTTTCCTGTGTTTTGTTTCATTCATACATTTTTAATGCACAAACCCTGCATATTTTGGCTTTGAGTTGTGAGTTCTTCTCAAAAGTTTCAATTTTTTTAACGGTTTACTGTTGATCCAAACATATTCTGAACTTTTGATTGATGAAAGTGTCCACCTTTGGCAGATATAACAGCTGAACACACTCGTGGCTCGTTCTTTTTACAGTAGAAATCAAATATTCTTCAGAAAGTTCTTCCCAAGTCTGTTGCAGAAGTTCCCATAAATGTGTGGCACTTGTAGGTTGTTTGTCTTTCACTCTTCTGTCCAGTTCATCCCAAACCAGCTCGATGGGGTTTAAGTCTGGACACTGTGCTGGACACTCCATGTTTTCAAGCTTTACCGTCTTGTTCTTTTTTCTTGAGGTAGTTTTGGCAGAGCTTGGATTTGTGTTTTGTATCTTTTTTTTTAACCTCTGTCTGTTCAGTTTTTACCTTTGTACCATTTCAAGCTCTTCATTGGACTCGCACGACTTGAATTGCAATAAATAACTGGAAAAATTAGGGTGTTCTAAAACTTTTGACCAGTAGTGAATATAAAAGTTGTTACACCCTCGTCCTTAGGTTGACCTGAGCTGTTAAACCAAGTTCGTCTAAGTTCATCTGTTAAGTTTGAAGTTAGTTACTCTGGCTTTTTATCTTTAGTATTCAGACTTCGTGGTTTGAGATAAGTGTGAGGGTTTGGGAAATTTAGATACTACATTTCCATGTTATTATCTTGTTCAAAGCACATTGACGTCATTCTAAAACCTGAGAACGCTCATTAGCGCCTCTGCTGGTGGTACAGTGAATAAAAATAACAGGACTGAAAAAGAGACAAAGATTCATCAGTGCCTCGCTTTTCTTAAGGGTCCTATTACGCAAAATTGACTCTTGTGAGCTTTAAGTCATGTTATAATTTCGTCACCTCATTGAAGAAATACTAGGGGTTGTGTTTTGTTTCATTCACACGTTTTTGAGTTTTTATTATTAGTCTGTCTACATCTCCAAAGAACAAAAGTGGTAGTTTTTAAGTTAAAAGCGACGTCCTAGGGCTGAAATTATCCAAATGATTCTAGTGAAGGTGTATGGAGTTTAAAAACACAGTGGAGGACTTCCTGTATCTTAATCTTAAACCCTAAAATCCTCTAGTCCAACACTGGAAGAGTTTGCAACCTGCTTTTTTCAGTGGAGATGTAATTGGTCTCGATTATTACTCGGTTATTATTACAATTTATTATTTAATGGCATCTAAAAAAAAGAAGATAAGAACTAAGAAAAAACATGATTGTATTTCTGAATGATGATTTAATAAAAACATAAAAAAAGTCTAACACTGTAGAAGCCTTTAAAAAAAGCGTATAAATCATTATGTTTTGAAAGATATAGCTCTGGAATGAATGAATTTTGCATTAACTTTAGTTTGTTTTAATTTATATTTTGACTTTTATATATACAGTAAGTTGTAAGTGAAATTGTAAATGCAAACTTGCTGTTTATACGATGCTTTTCTTTATTGGAATTGGCATTATAAATACTTTTTTCTTCAGCCTAAACCCTTTCGGTCATGACCCAATATGTTTTTTCCCGTTGGTTTAAAGAAAGAAAATCAAATTGGCCGGTACAATTTAAACAATACACATTCAATCTTGTGTTTGTGTTTATTTTTTCTATGTACATTTAATTGGCTAAAGCAAATCAACAGTAATTTACAATAGTTAATTGAACCAAAGAGTGTTTGTTCATTGAGCATGTCTTGCGCATGCGCTGTGCCAAGTCGCTCCACCCAACATAGGGGGCAGCACTGACAACAGCCTCACTTGACTCTGCCCAATAACACCGTAGAATATGACACGTGCGCCATGTGCTCTGGCCTCCGATCATCCAAAGAAACATGAGCGAGACCTCGCCATCCCACTGCCAAGCTTCTCCACGATGGAAGGTAGTGATGTCGAGATGAAGCCCCATGAAGCACTGAAGTGTTCCAGCCATTTGCTCGACTCTTGAGCCGACGCTTCAAGGTGCTTCATTTGCTCCACAAAAAATATATAACAGGCAGAGTGAAAATAGAACAATCAACATGGTCATCGAGGTTCTGATGGAAAGATTTATACTGAATAAATGAACGATTAAATATTTGAATGTTTGTGATTTCAACATAAAGTGTGAATGTATGAACCTGGAGTCTGTGTTCGTGATATAAAGGTCGGGTTAAAAGAAAAAGTAGGAACAAATTGGAGATCAGGATGTAATGTGACTGTGCTCGTGTTACTACTTTATGTCTGTGCTTATGCCACAATAAGCACGGCAAAATAGGGTCATTTTATTCATTTTTATTTAAAAATATCAATTTCTTCACAGTATTTGGACTCAGATGGTTTCTTTTTACATTAAATTCTACATTCATTTAATGTAGAATTTTAAATTGGCACGTAAATGGTAATGAATGTTTTTTAATTGACTCAATTAACTTTTGCGTGTTGAGGTAACGGATGTTTTCTTGTTGAACCAATTTATAATTTAAACTGTTTTAGTTCGACCAATTTATAAATATCATTATGATCAATTAACAATATTTAGATGTAAATGATTTCTATATAAATTATAAGTTAAACCAGTGTTTTATTTTTTTCAGTGTGTTTTTTTTTTGTTTTTTGTAGTGCTGCAAAATGACAAGATTCCCAACAAGAATCCATGTTTTATTTCATTTTTAGGCAATATAAAAGCCTGTAGTAATGTAATGTGTTGTGTCATCTCCATGGTCCCAAGACGCAGCAGTGCTTTGAACGCTTTACTCCAAAAAAAAAAAAAAGGAAAACAAAACACCTCAAACGATCAAAACACAAATTATCTCCCAAAACTAAACCACCTTCTCCGCCTTCCTCCAGGTCCCACAGAGCTGCCTGAAGAGCTCGCCCCAGTGACAGAAGGCCCTCCAGAGGTTGCCCCGGCCGCGTCCGAGCCCGAGCCCGAGGCCGAGGCCGAGGCCGAGGTGGTCACAGAAGCTGCAGCCCCAGACGCCCCAGAAGCCACAGATGCCCCGGTCGCCGCCGCAGAAGAAGAACCAGCCGTAGTCACAGACCCCCCAGCGACCGACCCCCCCGCTGCTGCCGAGGTACACAAGTCACTATGAAAAATGTAATGTTTTAGTGATTTTTGTGGAAAGAAACACCAGGATTTTTACTTATTATAGTTGGGTAGATAGGTGCAAATCAGAACTTTTTGGTTGCGAGTCCGTCACCTTCTTGTTTCTCCAATCCAATCCAACTTTATTTGTATAGTACATTTTTATAAACAAGACAGTTTCCAAAGTGCTAAAACATTTTACTTTAAAACAAAAAAACAAAACAAAAATAATGTCAGCAGAATTATGTTACAACCAAGAGGAAACTAATAGAATCAATAAATAAAATAATAATAATAAAACTAATATAAAAAAAAATAATAAAATCAATACATAAAAGCAGTACTAAAAAAAAAAAAAATAAATAAATTTTTTTTAATTTTATGTATTTATTTTGGGCAAGTAAAGTACATTCTTATACAATGGAACATATAACATAAGTTAAATCATAATAGAAATAAAAAATACCCCCCCCCCAAAAAAAAAAGAAAAAAATGTTTTGCCCAAAAAGGAGTGAGAAGAAGAAAATTTATTTAATTCCACCCCTACTCTTCATAATCTAACACAATAAATTAAAATAAAATAAATAAAACAGAATAAAATAAATAAATACATTTTAAAAAGATACAGAGGACCACAAAACTCTCGCAGTGTTAAAAGCCAGAAAATAAAAGCGGGTCTTAAGACGAGACTTAAAACACTCGTGGAGGGGCAGAGCGTTCCAGAGTTTGGGACCGACCACAAACTTTATGTAAATGTCACTGCTCTGCCTCGAATGTTCCACAGTATGACTTTAAACAGCTCTACTTTACACTTATTCAACTGCAGAATGGTTTTATTGCTCAAAAATATCTAGAAAAACTTGCATTCTGACTGTGAGCGGGGTCGCCTCTCCACAGATCTGACCTGTATAACTTGGTCTGGTTTGGTCTCCATGAAGACAGAAAGGTTTAATGCCATACTGTGAGACATTCCACAGCAATAACATCTCCATGGAGAAAAGCGTTTGACGGACCCTCCACCAGAAAAGTTACACAATCTTTTTTTTTTTTTTTAAATCTTGCAAAGTGCATTTTTCATGTTTTTCTGATTATTACTGGGTTTGGGGGGAGTGTAAATGTGGTAAATAGTTATCGTAGTTTTACATCAGTTAAGTGGCAGTTTGTGGAAAAAATGTCGAGAAGAAAAGTACAAAAATAGAGGAAGTAGTGGTTAGTTCTAAAACCGAATCCCTCTGAAGTTTAAACCTTCATTCAACAAAATAAAAATGTTTTGCTCTATTCCAATTAATCTGTTATAACTATTACGCAATGTGTTTATTTTATGGTTGCCAACAGAAAAAAAGTTTCAGTTTCATTAAATCTTATATATGATGTGTGTTTTCATATATTTTATTTATTTATTTAATGTAAAAGTGAGTACAGTACAAAAAAGTGTTGAAAATTGTTTTAACAAGATCATGACCAAAGAACAGTGAAATCCCTAAAGTGCATGTGACAGGTTTTCATGTTTTTCTATTTATTACTTCTCATATTTTTATTTTAACTGTGTTTTATTAAAATATATAGTAGTAGTGTAAGCTGTCATATGCACTTTAAAGGCACTATATTCAACTTTTTTTCTGGGGACTCATATTTTAAAAGTCACAAAACTTCGCGACCCAAGTCAATAGACATTATTCGTAAATCACAAAATAAAGGTGATTTTAAACATTATTGAACATTAATGAGGATATGTTATTGCAGTGTCTCTCTGAACAATTAGTTTTACTCAAATTTTAAATGATGAAAAACAGTAATTGAAGCAGCAATAAAAGGATCCATAAGTCGCCTATTTGGACATTAAATGTAGAACATTTATTTTTCTTTTCAACATTCAATTGAGCCAGCAACATTGGAACAAAATATGTCAACGTTCCAAAACATGTTTAAATATTTTGACATTTCTAATGAGATAGGTGGGCCTGTCTGCATTTTTGTAGCGCGTTTTAGTCTGGGGTGCAGGAGGAGAGTGTAACATCCTGACAAGGCGACCCCACTCTTTGGGAAACAATGCTATATTACACAAAATTGACTCTTGTGAGATTTAAGATGTGTTATAAAGTTGTTACCTCATCAAAAACAGACCTGGAGTTGTGTTTTGTTTCATTCACACATCTGAGTAATCTTTTATTATTTGTCTGTCTATGCCGAGTAGAACATTCAGTGGATGAGCTGCGAAACGTCTTCAACCAAACTAACTTTTGTCCAGTCAACAAACTGAATTTTCTCCTCAGCATGGATTCTACCAGGACGACTGAGGGATTCGTCACACATTAGTCTGTCTACCTCTTCAAATCTCAAAATGCTCTGCTCCACCTTGTGATGTCATGAAGCGGTAGTTTTCAAGTTAAAAGCTAAGTTTTACATTTTGTTCAGTAGAGATGAGTAATTCCAGCACTGAATAAAAATGAAAAAAATGCATATCACACTCAGATGGCTGATGTCCAAAAGCTTTTTCTTTTATTTTTAAATCATGTTTCGGCAAAAAGGCTTACGTCAGATCAACTTTCTTGCCCTGGACCAGTGTATTTGAGCGCTGAAATCATTCAAATTATTCTAGTGAAGGTGTATGCAGTTTAAAAACACAATCAAGCAGTGTCACAAGGTGGAACAGTGTGTTTTTGGCAGAAGAACCCTGTGTAAATATGCAGGGTTTGTGTGTTAAACATGTGTGAATGAAACAAAACACAACTCCAGGTCTGTTTGTGATGAGGAAACAACACTGTACCCCTTTAACCTTATATCTTCTCAATAACTACAAGGAGGTGGTGACTGAAGCTCCAGTAGAAGTCGCTACAGACGCCGCTGAGTCCGAGGCTGTGCCCGCCACAGACGCTCCCGTGGCAGAGACAGAAGCTCCGGCGCCTGTCCCCACGGAAGCCGCAGAAGCAGAAGCAGAGCCAGAGGTGGCGGTGACAGAGGCCCCGGCCGCAGAGGAGGAGCCAGAGGTGGTGACCGAGGCCGCCGAGGTGGTCCCTGAAGTCCCAGAGGCCACCGTGGCTGCAGTAGAGACGGGAGAGGAGGTGCTGGTGGAGGGGGGAGAAGAGGGTGAGAGACGAAATACTGCAATACTAAAATGAAAATTGGCAAACCTTTGTATATTATGCTCAAGGGGCAACTTTCCTGCAGAAGACTCCGCAACCTCCCTGTTTCCATGGAGATGTTATTGCTTTGTCTGGATTATTACTCAGTGTGGTGACAGTAGCTCTGTTGGTAGAGCGTTCAACATTTTACTGTCCACTCATCAGGAACTGCACATGAGCATGCTAGTTGTTTGCTTTACCGTCGCTGTGAAACCTCGCTCTGGTCTCTGAGAGTTGTGAAAAGCCCGTATAAACTCATCTCAGTGAATAATTAGGAAGCTCAGAAATCATAAAATAAAAAATAAAACCAAAAATAAGAAAATGAAAAAACAACTGTCTCTAAAACCAAAATGAAACACGGATAATGATTCGTTTTTTCAGTTTTCGATTTGGCCCATTTCCCGTTTCCCTGACTTAAACTGCGATGCCAGACTTTTGTGCCACATACGGACTAAACCAGAACTAAAACAAGATTAAACCAGGACTAAACCGTTTTCAGACCAGGACTGAGGCCAGGACCAGACCAGGACCAGACCGTGACTGAACCCGGGACCAGACCGAGACCAGACCAGGACCAGACCGGGACTGAGACCGAGACCAGACCAAGACTGAGGCCGGAACCAGACCAGGACCAGACCAGGACCAGACCAGGACTGAGACCAAGACTGAGACCAGGACTGAGACTGGGATCAGACCAGGACTGAAAATGGTTTAGTCCTGGTTTAGTCTTGTTTTAGTCCTGATTTAGTCCTGGTTTAGTTCGGGTTCAGTCCAGCATCGCAGTTTAAGTGACATAAACGGGAAACGACTGTTATCCTTTTTTTTTTTTTTTTTTTGTTTTTTCTCATTATTCATTTAAACACAAAATCGAAAAATGAAAAAAACTAATCGTTATCTGTTTTTTATTTTAGTTTTGGAGACAAATAATGAAGAAAATAGTTAGAATAGTTAAAATAGTTGTTTTCTAGCTTTTGGTTTTATATTGAAAAACTAATAAACAAATGATACATGGATTTAGCTCATTGTGTCTCAAAGCTAACAGTGTTTTACATTAGCTTTGAGTTAAAGTAAAACATCGAGTAAACAACAACAATCATTATTTTATCATATGTATATTATATTATTATTTTTATATGTAGATCTCCTCAGTTTGCAGCGTTGTTGTAATAGTAATTATGACTCAAAATTAGCATTAGCATTAGCACTGAGACGCTAACATCTCTCTTTATCGACGCAGAATTATCCTGTGTTGAAGTTTGTTTGTGTCTTTTTTAACACGTTGTCAGTGAAATCCGCCCACAGCTCCCTGTTCACTACTTTATCTTTAAATATTTATTCATTTTAGCACGACTCAGCAAAAAACACACAGAGCTGAAATGGAACAGGAAGTAGCGATGCTAACGATGCTAACAGTGAGGCTGCCGAACGCTACTGTGGCTAATTAATATCTGTTCCGCCAGTTTGTCGTATTAATTGTCAAAACCCCGTTAAATGTTTGTCTCCAGAGGGTCTGAGCTCGGGGCAGGTGGCGGGCATCGTGATTGGCGCGCTGTTGGCCATTGTCATCGTTATCGCCGTGGTCATCACGGTGGTCAGGAGGATGGGCAAATACTCGTGAGTACACACCAAAACACGACGACGCATACATACAACAAAGTACGTACATGTTTTAAAATAGAAGTAAAAGTACGATTGCAATCACTGATAACTATGTGTACATCATGGAATACATACACTTTACAAATATGAAAGAAATGTGCTCACAAAAGTATACAGTTAAATTAAATCAAACTACCATGATATACCAGCATTTTACTACGGTACATGTAGTTGGCATGGATAACAAGGCTGATACTGCTTGTGTCAATTTCAAACTGAATTTCGATACTAAAAAAAAGACTTGATGCTGATTGTGTCGCTTTTAAACAATATTGTAATTTATAGTATGCACTACTGGTTAAAAATTTGGACTCACCTTCTTATTCAATGTTTTTTTCTATATGTTTACTACTTTCTACATTTGATATCCACACAGAAGACACTAAATATATGAAGTAAGTAAGTATAAATGGCGTTATGTAGCAGATTAGTCTTCAAATTACCCATCTTTTGCTTTGTCGAAAAATATTTAGTTGAGTTATTCAACTTTATACATATTTCATGATGAGGGTAAGATCGTAGATTGACCAGTAAATCAAGAGCGAAAGGCAAAGCTCTCGATTTACCGCTCAATTTACGTTCCTACCCTCCCCTTTGGTCTTGAGCTTTGGGTAATGACGGAAAGGACAAGATCGTGGATATGAGTGGTCAAAATGAGTTTCCTCCGTAGAGTGTCTGGGTGCTCCCTTAGAGTTAGGGTGAGGAGCTCAGTCACACGGGAGGAGCTTGGAGTAAAGCCGCTGCTCCTCCACGTCAAGAGGAGCCAACTGAGGTGGCTCAGGCATCTGTTCTGGATGCCTCCTGGACAACTCCCTTAGGAGGTGTTCTACCAAGACCCAGGACACTCTAGAACAGGGGTGCTCAATACGTCGATCACGATCTACCAGTCGATCACCAAGGTCGTGTGGGTAGATCGCCGTGTCTCGTCTCAGACTCTATCACGTTTGGACTCGGTCTTGTCTCTCACTCAAGGTCTGACACTCAACAAGTGTGATCATATTTCATTACGGCCGCTGCTGTTGGCAGTAAACTTGTAGCGGGTGCAGGAGCGTGTGGGGCGTCTCAGTGCAGCCTGTGCGCTCATTTGAAACCCGCGGAGACTCTACGGCGCATCACAAATACACACGCTCCCTATGCACGGCTCGTCTGCAACAGCGTGTGCCCTCGTGTACCAGCGTGCATCACAGGGCAGGTTCAACTTCCTAAACATCCTACCTGTCCATCTGCCTCACGTCAGCACGCCGCCCCTCGCCTTTTCACGCTCTCGCTCCTTCCTGCGTACAGCGAACACAAGCCCCTCCCACAGTGCGGCTGATTAGAAGAGCAAGACCAAACGTGAAGCAAAAACTAGTCTAAATTTGTGTTACAGTGTTGGCACAAAGCAGGTCTACAGCATAGAGCGGATCTACAGAACAGACCTACTGCCACATTTGGCTGAAGTTTGTCTAACAAAAGTGCACAAATGCATCTGTGTTTGTCACGATGTGCGTTTGGTTTGGTAAACGTGCAGAGGCTGGTAAATATCACTGCAAAACCAGAAAAGAATGAAACTCCAGTTTGGAACTTTAAAAAACAGGTTTAAAAATCTTACCTACTTCCTTCACTTTTTTCACAGTTTTGTGTAAAGTGCCAGAGGAAGTTCTCTTAAAGAAGAGGTTCTCAAACTGCGTGTGAGGTCCAAAAAAGGGGCACAGAGTGTTTCAGTGCAGTTTGCTTGGCTTTGTATTAAGTAGATCATTTTGTAAGTAGCTCGCATGCTGAAAAAGTGTGAGCACCCCTGGTATAGAGGGACTGTGTCTCTGGGCTAGTCTGGGAAGTCTTGAGGTCCCCCGGGAGGAGCTGGAGGAAGTGTCCAGGGTGAATGAAGTCTGTGAGTCCCTGCTTAGACTGCTGCCCCAGATAAAAATGGATGGATGAAATATTTGATGTCTTCTGTATATCAAATGTTGAAAATGTAGAAAAAAACATTGAATGAGATGGTAAGTCCAAACTTTTGACTGGTGTAGGTCTGATAAAACTCAAGATAAAATAAGATAAGATGTTCAGTATTGATACCTGCTCAAATAAGTTTCTAGTTTCAATACTACTTTTAGTATTGATTATCATCTGATTTTCTATACTTTTGTCAACTGTAGATGCTACAAAACATGCTTGCTGTGTATCAATTTATGCCTTTATTTTCTTTTTTTTCTTTGATAATTGAGAAACACATTGAAGTGGCTGGAGCATGTTTAACTAATGCGCATGTGTTTTTTGTCACAGGGCTCCACCTAAGGGCAAAAAACCCACCAAGTCTAAAAAAGACACCGTGATGGTTTCTGTAAATGTCACGTTTTGTTCACTTTTTAAGCTAATACTTTTAACTTACAATAACTGAACCACGTCCCCTTGTCCCTTAATAATAGACTGACAACTGCTGTGTGATTTTCTGGTCCAGAGTGAGATGTCCACTTATCTTAACGACCCTATTTCGGTTTGCTTATGTATTTTTATAGACGTCACTTTAAATGGTTTTATCCCAGGGGCTTTCTGCATCTGCTAATGTTAACTAAAGGATCAGAGGCTGAAACTGATAAAAATACTGAATATAGCGAGCGATGCAACGAAGCAACAATGCAAACGGATCACTGAGGTTGTCTTCTAATCCTAATGCTGAAGGTTTGATCCCCGCTGCTGTGTCTATATTTATTAGGGATGTAAAAATAACCAAAATATCGTGTTATCGTATTGTCAAAAGTCTCATAATAATACCCTGGGGCGTCACAATATATCGAATTACAATATTTTTTGCTTAAATGCATGGTTTTATAGCAACAATAACTAATAAATATCAAGAACTACATATCCCATGATTCATTTCAGTGCAGACAACTTAAATTAATATGTTTTTTACTTGAATTTTTGGGATTATGATGGAAATAATTCACACCAAATTCTTGTCAGAGTATTTTAAAAGCATAAAAACGTTCTATCTACAATTATATCGCAATAAATATCGTACCGTGAGATGCATATCGTGATAATATCGTACTGGGAGATTCATTTTTACTGCTTATTTTTGCGCTTTTGTCGAAGTTTTGTTGTGTTTTGTACAATGGCACAAAATCTACAAACAAAGCGGCAGTGCAAATGGATCACTGAGGTTGTCTTTACTAATCTTGTGTTTAAGTTGAAGGTTTGATCCCCGCTACTGACATTGTATCTGTCCTTGAGCAAGACACTTAACTTAACACATTTTGGCTGTGCGTTTGTTGTGGCTGTATAACTAGAGAGGTTTCGTGTTCCAGAACAGCTATGGTTTGTCATATTAGTGAGGCGTGTTCAGTGCAATTCAAAGCTGTTGTTATTATTATTGCTGATACTTTGCACTGACATTACGCCGGGGGGTTCTGCGTGTATGTCTATGCCAGCAAACGTAAGCAAACACTGCCAGAAAATAAGTACACAAGTGTTCAAGACTTGTTCATATCTCACTCGTTGTAGTTCCAGCTTAGTCAGTTCTTTTTGGTGAGATTGTGTGAATAAAACTCAGATTAAAAGACCCATATTACGCTATTTGCTGATCGATGTTATAATGTTGTGTCCTCATCACAAACAGACCTGGAGTTGTGTTTTGTTCACACGTTTAACACACAAATCCTGCATGTTTAGGCTGAGTTCTTCCACCTTGTGATTAGGAATTAGGGTACATATCTTGATACAGTGAGCTTTCAATTCGATACGATATATTTCAAATCGATTCGATATGATTCAATAAAAATAAAGGCTAAATCGTGGCTGTGATACTAAAAGTCTTGTGAAATGTTAAACCATTTTTTGTGCAAAGTTAATATGAAACACGCCGATTTTAATCATCGAAACAGTGAAAATGTCAATTGTTGTCGCATAAACGAGTTTCCTTCCTCTAAACAAACAACAAAACTGTAGCACTGTAACAAAATAATTTTGTAAAATACACCAAAAAATACTCCTGGCGATATATTGATACAGCAGTTCCCGATAACGGTTCTAAATCATCACATTAAACGATACGATCTATTGATATTTTGATATTTTTTGCACACCCCTACTTGTGATGTCATGTGGTTATACAGGAAGTGCTCCACTGTGTTTTTAAACTTCATACGTCTTCACTAGAATCATATGGATAATTTCAGCCCTGGAATTGCCGATCTTTACTGAACAAAAGGTAAAAGTCAGCTGTTAACTACCACTTCATGACATCACAAGGTGGAATAGAGCATGTAGACAGACTAATAATGCAGGATTAAAATGTGTGAGTTGAAACAAAACCAACTCCAGGTGTGTTTTTGAGGAGTTCATGGCATTAGAACATGATCAAAAGCTCGCAAGAAAACATGTTGTGGTATATAGGCTTCTTAAAGTCTAACTTCAGACAGAACGGTGCCTCTAGTTAGCGTCACACCCCCTGATAATGTTGATGCCATCAGCTGCAAAGTATCAGTAAGGTTACAGGTCTAATTACGCTAAAAACCTTAAAACCTCCCACTCGTGTGTTCACCTAAGCACTAATCCAAGTCAAATATTTAACCATTAGAAAATAGAACTAAACATGAACTCTCCCTTTTTTATTTATTTATTTTTTGCCATAATTGAAAGGTGTGTGAAATATAACAGCATGTGTCTTGTAGCTTTTCAAACTTGTCTCATTTTTTCATGTTCAGAGACGTAAGATGGTGATAGTGGGCCCCCAGTGCACTATTTTATAACACAGGTATAAGGCAATGTGAAGGCAACGTTATTATCTATGCTACCCACCTAATACATACATATACCCACTTCACTGGTGTTTATCCTGCATGTTGAAGTTCACCTTGACATTATGGAGTAGCTACAGGGGCAACGACGCAACTACGGTGGCTCTGAAGGGACATTCTGGTTCATTTAAAGTAGTATTATAGTGAAGAGCAAAAGTTTAGATCATATTCTCAGTCCCAGTTCAGTGCAGTGTTGTGTTTTTCTTTTGTCAAGGTGTTAAATATTTGTAATAACGAACATGTAGTATAGCCGTCTAAAAGACAGCCAACCGCTAGTGAGTTAAAGGTGCACTTTGTAACATTTTGGTTGCTTGTTTTTATTAATATGAATATTGAATTTATCTGCCTGAAATGTTCCACAGTGTGACATCAAACGCCTCTACTTTACATTTATTAAATTACAAGTGGTTTTATAGCTCAAAAATACCTAGAAAAACAGGCGTTCTGACTGTGAGCGGGGTCGCCTCACCACAGATCTGACCTGTAACTTGGTCTGGTTTGGTCTTCATGAAGATAGAAAGTTTTTGTGCCACAGTGTGAAACATTTAAGACAAAGCAATAGTATCTCAGTGGAGAAAAAACATTTTGACGGACCCTCCACCAGAAAAGTTACACAATGCACTTTTAACATCAATATACTGTATTTTTCGGACTATAAGGCGCAATATCAATAATGTTGAATTCTCTCGTCTATTTTTATTTATAAATCACACTGGATTATAAGGCGCATTAAGCGAAACAAACGGACGACACTTAAGACTCTTTAGCCGAGGCATCCACGATCCATTGGCAGATCGTGGTGTAATTCGCAGTGTTGTCTTCCTGTCTTGGTGAATGTGGATTATGAATGTGAATGTGGATGGATAATTTAAGTTTGTTTTTGTTATTTTCTAGGACGACTCAAATATTCATTGAGTAATAATGTGTTTAATGCAGCTTTGCGCACATTTGTTTACGTTTTACAAAAACGAAACTTAAAACCACATGGCTAATTTGCATAAACTATAAGCGCTGAAAAAAACAGCTCGCTCCTTGTGCGCTGATGCGGTTCAGCTTCTGTCAGACTAAGGACCGTAAATTGGGCTTTACTCCATGAGGCTCCTGTCTACAGTAGCTGTAATGTTCCGACAATCCATCAAACAGTGTGGCTTCGTAGTTTACCAAAGTCGTACTAAAACATTTTGACAGATTTTTGAGCACCGTGTACCACATAAAATCGGTTCGAGGTCAATAAACACAACCAGAATTAATACTTAAGGCGCACTGTCTGATCTGTTTTTGAGGATATTGAAGGATTTTAATTACGTGTTATAGTAAAAAAATACGGTATAAGATTTTATCAAAACTCTTCCCTAGTTTTTTCTAGTTTTTAAAATGTTGCTGTAATTTATTATTTGACCTCTTGGTTGAACTGTTACTGTTACCTAGTAACCATAACATTAACAAGGTCCAAAAATTATGGAATTTTCTGTTGATAACATAGGAAGAGGTACTGCGTTTTAGAACTGACCACTACTTCCTCTATTTTTGCACTTTTCTTCTCTACTTTTTTCCACAAACTGCCATTTAGCTGATGTAAAAGCCTATTAACCGCAGATATTATCCCTCCAAACTTAAAGTAATAATTAGAAAGACATAGAAATCTGTCATATGCATATTTAAAGGTGCATTGCGTAACTTTTCAGGTTGATATTGCTTTACCTGTAATGTTCAACAATATTGTACTAAATATAAGACACATTTATTCAATTATGGGTGTTTTTATTGCTCAAAAATACCTTTAAAAACACAAAATCTTACCGTGAGTGGGGCCACCGCTTCACAGATCTCACCTGTAAACTGACCTGGTGGCTCCTTCTGCTTGTCTCTATGGAGATCGGCACCTCAGTCATGGGTCTTCTACCAGAAAAGTCACTTAATGCACCTTTAACATCAATGCATTTAAGATTTTATATGCCTAGTTTTTTCAAATGTTTTAAATGTTGGTGTAGTTAATTATTTAACCTCCTGGTTGGAGACAGACAGCAGACATGAGGTAATATAGAGTAGGTTATATAATGTTAAGGTCCAAAAAGTTATAACATTTTTTTGTCTATAACATAGGAAGAGGTACTGCGTTTTAGAACTGACCACTACTTCCTCTATTTTTGTACTTTTCTTCTCAACTTTTTTCCCCAAGCTGCCATTTAACTGATGTAAAACTATAACTATAAACCTATTAACCACAGATATTGAAAGTAAACTTAAAGTAATAATTAGAAAAACATAGAATCCTGTCATATGCATATTTAAAGGTGCACTGTGTAACGTTTCAGGTTGATATTACGCATTTATTCAATTATGGGTGTTTTTATTGCTCAAAAATACCTTTAAAAACATGAAATCTTACTGTGAGTGGAGTCACCGCTTCACAGACCTTTCTGCTTGTTTCTATGGAGATCGGCAAAACAAAAACACCTCAAACGAGACGAGAAACTGACCAACTCTTCCGGAAAAGTCACATAATGCACCTTTAACTGCTGTATTTATGTTAAACTAATATAATCTATAATCTTGCAATTGTTTTATTTCAGAGGCAAGTCTTTCCTCAAACTAAAAAACCCTAAATGGACAAATAATCAGATCTTTTTTTCCCTCCTTGTAATCCGGTAATCACCAGCTTATGAAATCATGATCTAACCTCCTCTCTCTCTTTCCCACAGCCCTTGAAGAAGAAGGGAGCCAAACAGCCCGAGCGCTCCAAGTTCTGGAAAGTCTGAAACTACTGAACTGTGACGTCGATAAAGAAGATTGCTAAAAAAAAAACCAAGACTGAACCAGGACTAAACAAGGACTTCTTCTGGACTAAAGCGAGACTAAACCAGGACTAGACCAGGACTAAACCAGGACCTAACCAATCTAATCTCGGACTGAACACACCGTTGCATCAAAAGTAAGAAGATTTCAGGACTACACTCATTGCCTACGGGGAGGAGGAGATGTGTTTGTGATGTACGGAAGCCTGTGAAGGACAAAAGCGTGGGTCAAATCCTCCCCTCAGTTACATTTTCGTATTCTAGAAGAGCTGTCGTTCCCATACCAAGATGGCGGCAGCGCGTCAGGACTTTCAAAACGCAACGTCAAAAGGGAGCAGGAGTCAAAACCTCTTTCCTTTATATTTCTTGTGAATTTGTTGATAGTAGATTTACATTAAACGGCAGGTATTTTAAATTTAGGGTTGTCCGGATAGCAGTATCAGTACTATATAGTATTGGTGTATTTTGCTCTCTCCAATACTGTCATAAAAGTACAAGTTGTAGTACAAGTGTTTTTGTAAGTATGTTCACTATCTCTAAGCCTGGCCACGCCTTATTCACCAAGTTCCGAAGTGCCTTAAGTTTTCGTTTTATTCTTCGTCAGTATGCCTTCCTCGATGTTATGTTTTTGTTTTTCTCCTCAGTAATAGCGAATGTGTTTCAAAATGCGTACTTAAGTAGTAATATTAATATTTTATACCCCGACGAATCCAACGGAGGTCCAATGAAACCCAAAAATGGTGGCTGGCCAGGCTATCTCTCCTGAGCACTGTACGGAAACGATTACTGTATAAAGGTTCGGTAATATTATCAAGAGCCCAAACAAAGCTGGTGTTTCTGATAGGGATGGTTAAAGCAACATTGTTTAACTGGCTCAGATTGTGTTTGCTTAACTGTATGGCTTGTATAGGCCCTTATAGCACCTTTTAACACAACCAAATCGCTTGACGTTAAGGTGACCAGACGTCCCTATTTACCCAGGACAGTCCCAGTTTTGAGCCTGTGTCCCCTTGTCCCAGCAGATTTATCCAAAACCAGTGATTTGTCCAAGTTTTATACAAGATTTTTAACCAATCTCATCCCTGCCAACAGTAAAGAGCGGCATAAGTTGTTATTCGTTTAGGTAAAATACAGAAAATCAGCTTAAAAATGACCAAAACACAAAGAAAATGTGACTATACCGACTCATATTTGTCTTGAATGGGCCAAGTGCATAACAATTTTCCTTAATTACGCTCTCGTTTCACAATTTTATCATTACCAACCACCAAAAAAATCAGGGATGTCCCAGTTTTTTATTTTGAAAATCTGGTCACCCCACTTTACGTTGATTTGAATTACTTTTTCACTTCTTAGTCAATCAATAATGGCTACTTTTGGGCGGACTGAAAGAAACACGGCTGCCAATTTGCGGCGCGAAACAGCCTTTTGCAACCGTCAATCGCTTCCAGAGTCGCACAAGCTAGGTTAAGTGTCTTGCCCAAGGACACAACAAAGATCTGAGCTGACGTGAGCAGGATTTGAACTATAAATCTTCAGGAAAATGAGAATCTGCTCCTCACAACAAAACAATATTTGGGTTTTTTATATGCACTTGAAGAATATGAATGAATTTAATTATCTTTTAGAATATCTGTTGTGCAATTATTAGTCCAAGTTTAGAGCCTTGTGTCCCTTGTTCCAGCAGATTTATACAAAACCACTGATTTGTCCCAGTTTCTTACAAGAAATGTCCCAGGTGTCCCTATTTTTGACAAGTTTGAAGCCTGCCAACAGTAAAGAGAGGCATAAACTGTCATTTGCTGAGGTAAAATACAGAAAAGCTGCTTAAAAACGACCAAAACACAAAGAAAACGCGACTACACTGTCTCACATTAGTGCCGATTGCGTAACAATTTTAATTAATTACGCACTCGTTTCACAATTTTATTATTACCAGCCACCGCAAACAAGGGACGATTTTATTTTGAAAATCTGGTCACCCTATTTTGTTTACCTTTGAAGAATATTAATGAATTTGCAATGATTAAAATGTGTTGTGCAAGTTTACCAATAGAAATACATAGAAAAACACTGTCTCTGAATAGTGTTATAAAAACAAATCTGCAAAAAATTATTCACGTTATCGTAGAAAGCTCAAATCAAACAAAAATACACCTTAGTTTTGACCTGATCAACTTTTCCATTGACCAGACGTCCCTGTTTACCCGGGACAGTCCAAGTTTAGAGCCCAGTGTCCCCTGTCCATAGTAGATTTATCTAAAACCATTAGTTTGTCCCAATTTTAAACAAAAAATGTCCAAAGTGTCCCTATTTTTGACCATTTTGACACCTGCCAAGTAAGAGAGAGAGTAAAGAGAGACATAAATTGTAATTTTTTTTAGGTAAAATACAGAAAAGCTGCTTAGGAACGACTAAAACACAAAGAAAATGTGACTATACTGACTGATATTAGTGCAGAGTGCGTAACAATTTTCCTTAACGCACTCGATTCGCAATTTTATTATTACCAATCAAACAAACCAGGGATGTTTCAGTGTTTTATTTTGAAAATCTGGTCACCCTAACAATATTGCCTAAAGAAAAACACAGAAAAACATTGTCTCTGAATAGAGTTATAGAAATATTTGGTTATAAATTATTCAAATTATCGTAAATAGCTCAAATCGAACAAAAATACACCTTAGTTTTGCCTTCAATTTTTCTATTGCACAGATACAGAGCAAGTATAAGGTGACCAGACGTCCCTATTTACCCAGGACAGTCCAGGTTTTGAGCCCTGTGTCCCCTGTCCCAGTAGATTTATCCAAAACCACTGATTTGTCCCAGTTTTATACAAGAAATGTCCAACGTGTCCCTATTTTTAACCAATTTGATACCTTCCAACAGTAAAGAGAGGCATTTGTTTAGGTAAAATACAGAAAAGCTACTTAAAAACGACCAAAACACAAAGAAAATGTGACTATACTGACTGATATTAGTGAAGAGTGCGTAACAATTTTCCTTAATTCCGCACTCGATTCACAATTTTATTATTACCAATCAAAAAACCAGGGATGTTTCAGTGTTTTATTTTGAAAATCTGGTCACCGTAACAATTTTGCCTAAAGAAAAACACAGAAAAACATTGTCTCTGAATAGAGTTATAGTTACAAATGATTCAAATTATCGTAAATAGCTCAAATCGAACAAAAATGCACCTTAGTTTTGACCTCAGCTTTGCGGTTTGACGTTCATATCTGGTCACTAACGCCCGGTAAAGTTACGCAATGTTGCTTTAAGACATGTAAGAAAGGCCGTTGGGACGTGCCTATTAGAAACACAACAAAGAAGTGCGAAGAAACCAAGAGCGTCTGTTCCAAATTCCACAGGATGTATAGACAATGCAGCTCAACGCCACGACTCTCTCCCACGCAGCATCTACGCCAACGAAAAAAAACGCAAAAAGAGCGAGAAAATAAAAAAAAAAAAAAAAAAAAAAAAAAAAAGGGACGATTTTCACATTTCGGATTTCTTTTCTGTCGCCTGAAGCCCACACTGCTGAAGTTTAGCCGACTGTATGAAGAGTGGCCCGTAGCGGCTTCACGACGAGGCGATTTTTTTTTTTTTTTTTTTTTTTTTTTTTTTTTTAGAAGCTCGCCGTTCCGCGTACGCTAACACTGAGATGCTAATACATATCTGTGAAATTTAGCAGAGGGGTTCGTGCCACTGTCAGAGGGGGGGATTTTAACTTTTGAAGTGCGTTATATTAATGTGAGTGACTGTAATGTTTAACCCATTCCAAAAAAAAAAAGAACATGGATTTATTCTTTTGTTAATGTTGTTTTTGTTTTGCTTGCCTAAATGTGGTTCTTGTTAGCAGTTCACACAGAGCACACATTGTCTCCACATCGCAGCCCTGCCCCCTTTTTTTTTTTTTAAATTGACCCCAGGATTTTCGAGTTGCACTTAATTCTCGTGCACAATAATGTTCTGTTTAGCTGAGTTGTTTTGGAGAAAATCGTCGTGCAAATACATTTCGGCTTTCCTCGCTAGCTGCCTGTACAAACCCGGTCATACGTGCACTGAATGAGAGAGTAGTTTTAGTTTTTAGTAGTTCAGACACTGCAAAAAAAAACGTTTGCGACGAAATGTTGTGTGCTGCCCCTCCCCCTCGGCTTGGCTTCATTTTATCACTTCTATGTCTTTAATCTGTGCCATGGGAGTTGTTTGAAACTTTATTTAATTGCGGTGTTTTTTGTTGTTCATATTGTTTCAATAAAATACGGAAAATTACCACGAGTCGCTGCGTCGTTTGTTTTATTGGAAGCGAACGCGGCGCTTCATTATGTGTGTTTATATTAAGCCTCGTTTGGAAAACCAACTGAGACGTGACATGAGCTCAAAAGTGTGTTATGTTCTGGGACACTGTTGCCGGTCTCCACGGAGGTGTTATTGCTTTGCCGAGAACGTTCAAGAGTACGGCGTTAAACCGTTAAACGTACGGTGCCTGTCGTCATGGAGACAAGCAGGTGACGCAGCAGAGCCAAGTCACAGGTCGGATCTGTGGAGAGATGAACCCACCCACAGTCAGAATGTTTGTATTTTTGAGCAATATACACATATCTTATTAAATATAGCCATAATGTTCCAACAATTCATCAACCGGTGCGGCTTCGTAGTTTACCAAAGTCGCACTAAAACATTTTGACAGATATTTGAGCACCGTGTACCACATAAAATCGATTTGAGGTCAGTAAGCACAACCAGAATTAATACGTAAGGAACACTGTCGATTTTTGAAAAAATTTAAGGATTGAAATGCGTCTTAATAGTTCAAAAAAGACAGTATAAAATTGTGTCAAAACTATTGCCTAGTTTTTTCTAGTTTTTAAAATTTTGGTGTAGTTTATTATTTGACCTCCTGGTTGGACTGTTACTGTTAAAATAACTGTTACCTAGCAACCATAATGTTAACAAGGTTCAAAAATTATGGAATTTTCATTATGTGTGTTTATATTAAGCCTCGTTTGGAAAACCAATTGAAACGTAACATGAGCTAAAAAGTGTGTTATGTTCTGGGACACTGTTGCCGGTCTCCATGGAGGTGTTATTGCTTTGCCGAGAACGTTCAAGAGTACGGCATTAAACGTACGGTACCTGTCGTCATGGAGACAAGCAGGTGACGCAGCAGAGCCAAGTCACAGGTCGGATCTGTGAAGAGACGACCCCACCCACAATGAGAATGTTTGTGTTTTTGAGCAATATATACATCTTTAATTGAATATTGATTTAATCACCTCTCTAAGGCTGCGTTCACACTGCAGCCTGAAGTGGCCCAAATCCGATTTTTTGGCCCCTATGTGACCTGTATCTGATCTTTTAATGACAGTCTGAATGACACAGATCTAATTTTTTCAAATGTGACCCAGACAGCTTCGATATGTGCTCCTAAAACCGATACATATCTGATCTTTTGACATGCGACTTCAGTCTGAACGGCCAAGGCGCATTCATCTGAACTACACGTTATCAACAAGCCACAAACATCACTATTTTGCGCTGAAGTAGGCGAAAATTGTTAATGAACTCTGTGTCACTGAAGCGAAGCACATCACCACTCACCACTCTTGGCTCCGTCTCCACATCCACACGTTCCTTTCAACGGACGTCGCTGCCGCTGTCCCACAAAACACCACGGCCAAAAACCTCGTCCTTCTCAATCTCCTCCTTAAAACAAGTAAGTTGTTCATGTTCTGGCTCCGGTACGAGAGGAACTTTAAAATCTCCAGGTGCTCAATGCTCGCGTCCATGTTTGGACAACTTCCGTAAACACAGAGACGCTCGCTGAGGTTGACGTCGTCGTGTCTCCAGTGTCACATGCGGGACACTTTCGGGACGTTTACTGTTCACACTGGAGTCACATACAAGTCGCATTTAATTGGAAATGTGAACGACCTCGCAAACACATCGGATTTCACAAAAAAATCGGAATTGAGCATTAAGCCCTGCAGTCTGAACGTAGCCTAAATTACACTTATTCTGCTGAATAAGTTCAATTAGATGTGTCGTTTTGATGCCTAATTTGTGCACTAATAAATGGAGAATGGTTTATGTTTTATATGCATCTAACTACGCCTCATCCAAGGTTTTCCGTGGCTTATTTAGATTTTAAATTTCTTGTGACTGTTAAAATGAGTAGCTCTCTGGCATTTTCGTTTTGTAAAAGGAGCTCACCAGAAGAAAAAGGTTGGAGACCCCTGCCCTACGTCAATCCAAGCAAACCAATAACGTCTCCATGGAAACCAGAACAGTTACAGAGTGCACTTTAATTAAATGATTAGATTAGATTCAACTTTATTATCATTACACGTGTATAAATACAAGGTAACGAAATGTGGTTTAGAGTCTAATCAGAAGTGCAAGGAGCAGTAAGTGCGATATATATACAGAATGTGGAGTATATACTATATAGACCAAGGAAGGGCAAACTTTTTGACTTATGGGCCACAAAGGGTTCTAAAATTTGACAGAAGGGTCGGACCAGGAGCAGAAGGGTGGAGTTTTTTGGTAATTCAACTCATAAGAGAAAAAAAATAACATTCGATATGTAGAAAATATATCCTATCTGTTACTGAGATATGCAGGTCGTCGTTGCAAATGAGACGGTGTTCTCAATTGATTTACCTGGTAAAATACTGAATAAATAAAAACATATATATAAATATATATCCCATAATTGAAAATCATTACGAAGCATTACAACAATATATCTGTCTTTCAAGTCCAACAGTATTTACTATTTATTGAAATTACTTTTAAAACACTGAAAATTATTATTATTATTATTATTATTATTATATTATTATTATTATTATTATTATTATTATTATTATTATTATTGTTATTATTATTATTATTATTATTATAGTAGTATTATTCAAGTTCTGCAGGCCGGATTAAAAAGATTATATATAGGCAAGGCAAGTTTATTTGTACAGCACAGTTCGTACACAAAGTAATTCAAAGTGCTTTACAGAATAAGAAATACATTAAAATCATAATAAAAACTAATCAAAACATAAATAATCATGAAGATTAAAATTAAAAAAGAGAGACATAAATTGGAGAGAAGAGTGTGAGTGAAAACCTTTCAGTTATTGCACAGTTAAACAGAAATGTTTTGAGTCTGGATTTAAACAGCGTCACAGAAGAGTCTGTCTCACATGTTCAGACTGTTCCAGGTTTTAGCTGCATGAACCTGAAACTCTGACTCCCCTTGTTTAGTCGTGACTCTGGGCACCAGCAGGAGGCCGGTCCCTGAGCTCCTCAGAGTGTGAGATGGTTCATATGACACTAACATGTCACAGAGATGGACTTTGGTGCTCGGCCATGGAGAGACTTGTACAAGCAGAGCTGCTTTAAAGTCTCTGAGGCACAGGAGCCAGTGCAGAGACCTGAGCACAGGACTTATGTGCTCGTACTTCCTAGTTCGAGTCAGGACCCGAGCTGCAGCGTTCTGGATGTTCTGGATGTTCTGGATGTTCTGCAGCGTCTCACAGCTCGTTTGGAGAGACCAGTGAGCAGAACATTACAGTATCTAACCTACTGGAGACAAACGCATGGATAAGTTTCTCCAAGTCTGATTTAGACAGTAAACCTTTGATTTTTGATATGTTTTTTAGATGGTAAAAGGCTGCGGATGTTATTGATATAGACAATATATAGTATATTACAGTGTAGATTGTAGTGAATATATACAAATAAATATGGCATTATGAACAGGAGGGACTTAGGTATTGGGGATATATAAGCAGATGTATTGTAAATATATACTTTGAAGAAATATACAGGGTGTGCTATAGAAAATATAAGTATGTATGACATATATAAATGATCAAAAGATACAGTACCGGTCAAAAGTTTCAGAACACCACACTTTTTCCAGTTTTTTACTGTTTACTGTTGACCAAAACGTATTCTAAACTTCTGATTCATGAAAGTGTTCACCTTTGGCAGATATAACAGCTGAACACACTCGTGGCTTGTACTTTTTACAACAGAAATCAAATATTGTTCAGAAAGTTCTTCTCAAGTCTGTTGCAGAAGTTCCCATAAATGTGTGACACTTGTAGTTCGACGGGGTTTAAGTCTGGACACTGTGCTGCTGGACACTTCATGTTTTCAAGTTTTACCATCTTGTTCTTTTTGCCTGAGGTAGTTTTGGCAGAGCCTGGACTTGTGTTTTGCATCTTTAATCTTTTTTTTTTAACCTCTGGCTGTTCAGTTCTTACATTTGTACCATTTCAAGGTCTTCATTGGACTTAATAAATAATAAATAACTGGAAAAATTAGGATGTTCTAAAACAGGAGGGAGTTAGGTATGGAGAATATATAAGCAGATGTATTGTAAACAACATATACTATGAATAAATATACAGAATGTGTCATAGAAAAAAATATATATGTATGTAAATATGTATAAAATGATGTATCAGATGTAAAAATGAAAATGTAAGCGTGATAATGGATGCTTTCATTCAACTCAAAGTGTTTCTAACCAGTCACAGCTGCTTGTAGTTTTGCTTCTAAACCAATTCTTACATAAATGCACTCTCTCTCCACTCCTCCACGCCGTTATAGCTCAGCTTAATGCAGCAGCAGAAAGATCAGCCACCTCAGTCTCTTCATCTCCTCCTCCTTCCTCTTCATGACACTCAAAGCTCTTTACATCAATAAACAACTCACCCATTCACACACACACACACACACACATTCATACACCGGTGTACACAGACACTGGGGTGATCTTGCGTGAGGCGTGAAGTGTCTTGCCCAAAGACACAACGCCAACCTGTGGGGCAGTGGATCTGATGCTCAACCAAAGACGTTTATGTGGAGATCGGGATTCAAACTTTCGCCGTTCACGAGCGTAAATGTTGTCTTTTTCCCCCCCATAATTCTCAAATGTTTTATGTTACTGGTGTCTTGTTCAAACTGTGAACAAGACACTTCTTTCAAAACCTTCCCCGAGGCTACAGTGACCACACTGAGTCACATTTTCATACATATTCAGTCCCGAATTAGACCCCTTATCTTTCGGACAGCTCCAATCCCATGACGGTAATTTCCAGTTAAAATGCCCTCTGGCTAAATCTGGACTGTGGAACTTCAAACTTCTACGAAACTGATCGTTTAACGCGCCCACGTTACGTTATTTTCTGATCTGTTTTGTAATGTTCTCATCAAAAACACTTAGAGTTGTGTTGAGTAATCCTTTTATTATTAATCTGTCA